CCCGCCCCGCCCGGGCCGCGCAGGCGCACTGCCACCTCTGCCATCCGAGAGAGGAAGGAAGGAGAGTGTTACTGCGCATGCGCTGGAAGGGGCACGAGGCTGCTGGCTGCGTGGCTCGCGCGCTGCCTGGTGGTTCGCGGGCGGGTGCCCCCTCCCCGCGGGGTCCACGCGCCGCCCGCGGTGGGGCACTGGCGGGGAGCGCGTGTGGTTGCACATGCGCAATCCCGCCTGGGTTACTTAGGCTCTGCGGGGGTGGACAGCGCTCAGGGGTCCTGGTTTTCTCTGATTAAAAAAAACCCCACAACCTAATCTTCGGATAGAAATAACCCCAAGTCCACATTTTCCCGTGATTAAAATGAAACACCACTGTATATGTACGTATATATACTTATATGTATGTGGTGATTCATTTTAATCGTGAAAAAATGTGGATTTGAGGGTTTTATTGGTTTTTAATTTATTAGTTTATAGTTTTTCATTTATTAGTTTATAAATTTCTCTCACCAAAAATTGGGGATTTTTTTTAATCAGAGAAAACCAGCATCCCTGGACATGAGACCACAGTGGATACCCAGCCCCACGGATCTGCCCCTGTGCCCATTGGCGATGCGTAAGGGGTGCATGCAGGTGCACTTGATCCCCTGAGTGTGGCGGTGCACCCCTGCAAAAAGGTGCCGCTGACACTGCCAACAGTGCCTGTGGGTGGTTGTTGCTAGCCGCCCCACCTCCCCTCACCGCCAACACTGCTGGCAGCATCTGTGGGCAGTCCCCAATTGTTGGTGGCCATTGCTGACACTGCTGATTGCATTGGTTGCTGACTGCTGGTTGGCACTCGCCACCCTCCCGCACTGCCTGCAGCCACCTGCAGGAGCTCACCGCTTGCTGCTGCCATGATCCCTCTGCCAACAGCGCTGCCACCACCTGTGGGAGCTCACCATGCCTCCCCAGCCTCTGGGGGCACATGGCATTCATGCCTGTGCCCCTTGGCACTGGGCATGGCAGGCCGCTTAGCACTGAGTAGCCTGGGTTGTGATTTTGGTTTCTGCTAGAGGACACGTTACCAGTGCAGGTTTCCCTCGATTTATGCAGGTTAGATTTATGCTAATTCACTCTTATGTGATGACCCTTTTTATAACTGAAATT